TCCTATTCTTCCACTAATGCATCTGCCATTTCTGCGAGACTTTCCGGAGACCTCTCGCGAGAACGTACCCTTCTTCCTGATTCATCCCACAAATGTTCTATAGAATTCATATCGGGGCTTCTCGCAGGCCATTGAAATGTGGTAATACCAGTAGCTTCTGAGAAGTTTCGCTCTATTGCTGCGATGTGTGGTCGGGCATTATCCTGCATCAATATAAAATTATTGCCCACTAACTCTGCATAAGGTAGGACATACTGCTCCAAAATGTCAATGTAAATTTGGGCATTCATCGACTGCCTCACCGGAAAAACATGAAGGGATGTCTTTCCATTCATTGAAGTCCCTCCCCACACGATAACGGACTCACCATTAAAAGTTTCGCATTCTCTTATAAAATTTTGATTAAACCGTTCACCAGTTCTTCTCCACACTCTTTTTCTTCCATCCACCATGTTAAGGCAAAACCTTGACTCATCCGTAAACAAGATATTCGACCATTCAGGAATATTCCACTGTCCATAATTTTCAACAAAATTTCTTCTAGCAGCACGATGTTCGGGCAATAATTTGGGATCTTTTGCAGGTCTCCTAGCTTTTAAATTAACTTCTTTTAGACGTCTGCTTACTTACTGCAACATCACGAATTTGGCAAAGATCTTGCTGAACATTTACCGCAGTATTTGATCGATTCCGTAAAATCCGCAATCTCAAGAAGCGATCATCTCTTGGAGAAGTTTTTCGGGAGCGACCAGAACCTACCCTCCGAGCGGTGCTTCCTGTTTGTTCGTACTTGCGGATTGCTCTACGAGCAGTTGCTTCATGAACTCCCACTGCACGAGCGGCGTAACGTTTACTACGCCCATCGTGTTCTACGCCCATCGTTTACTAACTCTTACTAATCTTGCTACTTGTTCAGGATTTATTCGAGGCATTTTTTGTTATTTTAGTCAATAAAACAAGACACTTAATTAATGACACAACGGCAAATGGTCAAATATGGAGGCATACAACAAATTAGTTGCTATGGCAACGGCATTTTTTTTTGAAAGACAATGTGATCCTACCAGAGTACAACTCAATCAATTTTGAGTACTCTTTCAATAAATTTAATTTGTGAGATAAGCGTAAGGTATCAGCAAAAAAGCTGTAATTCGAAAAATTTTAGAGATAAATCAATGGATAAAAAAACAAAATGCTCCCAGAAGAAGCCTCTTTCCTATAGGGTGTAAGCACTTTGTGTATCATTACTCAATTAACACACAGGGTGAGTCAAAAATTAAGAATAAATCATGGTTCGAGTTATTCCACCACCATCAAGTCACGCCAATTTAGCATTTAACAGCTGAGAAATGAAAATTGTTTCTAGATGTTTCACGAACTCATGGCAAAGTTACCTGGAGATGCAAAGTAACCCCGTTTTACGTTACCTCTTCAACTCTCTTTGATGTAATAGTTATTGTCTAGCAAAAAAAAAAATAAGGTTTTTGGTTCGTGGGACCAAAGTGTTGCCTACACATAATCCCTTGCGAAGATCTTGTTGAAGATCTTGAGTAGTTGATGTCTCCGGTAAACAATCTTCAGCTTCACTCTATAACTATAGTTTTATTCGATTCAGGTTAACAATCCAATCCGGTTGAAAATAATGTAAATGTAAATGAATTTTATGGATCATTAACAATAAATATTCATGTGTATTATGCAGACACCGGATATTTATAATTTATTGTGGCCTTCTATACTGGCTGTCTAATACGAAATTTCTACGTTGTTTGTTGTCTATGTGTATAAAGTACTTATAATGTGATCTTTGTTTGAATTCTGCGTAGTGGGGAGAAACTTGTTTTTGCAATAGTCAGTGGCTTGACCAGAAATTTTCGGTTGAAAAATGATTATTTTATTTGCTTCAATCCAAAATCTTTCATGTTAGTGAATACAGAGTGTCCTAAAATTTCATGTCCTAAATGATAGTGCTAATAGAGTGAGCCAAAATAATAGTAGTACTTTATGTAAAAAAATGTCTATCGCACTTCGTTACTTAGTAATTGACCTTGAAAGTTTGAATAACTTTTATTAATTTGATTAACTCATACTGATGCTCCTTTCGATATGTAAACGGCTGTTGAGTAATTATGCTTTATACAGGCATTTTTGACAGACGTCACAAATCGTTCATTTTGCTTCCACCGTTTGATTCCTACATATTTATCCTTCAAAAATAGTATAATACTGTCTGTAGGTTGATCAAGGAGGTGGTACATTCATTGTTTCAGATTTTTTGGGATTTTCTCATTTGATTGCCAACGTCACTGAGAACTGAAAATGTCAAGACAAATACGAATTTTCTATTAAAAGAGGAGAGCAAATCCCAAAAAATCTGGAATAATAAAAATAGTATACTTTATTTCAATCGATATCTTGTACCGTTCTAGAGGAGATCGTATATTACAAGAACTTTTATATAAACATAAGTCCCAACCGTTTCAAAGGTAGGTAATAGAAATCAAGAAATCAAATTCAATAACATCATGGTAGTTGCGGTCATTGTCATAATTGACATCATTTTATTTTGACAGTATTCAATACTTTGGTAAGACCATGGTTTAGTAAAGATGAGTATACACATATGCACCTTATGTATGGACTTGCAGAAACTTTTAAGGTCAATAACTCCGTAACGATGTGTGATGACAACATGACCGTTCCAGACACCCTGTATATGTAGAGTCCGATAACGTTTAGTGTGGGACAACAGGGCACGTGGTCTCGTATGCATTGAAAATGCTCTATGCTTTGAGTGACTTGGTGTCCTGAAATTAACGTGGTCGGACCCTTCTTTATTCACGTGTAACAACTGTTAAATGAATCACAATATTTCATACAAGGCTGGCAGTAATGATAACATACAAGTATGTAGGTATAGGTACGTCAAAGATCTCCATGCCATATTCACTCGCTTTGCCATATGTGATAATGTTCTTCACGAGGTTCTTCATCGCTTCCTATCTTCCAATGCTTGTCTTCCGCTTGGTTGAGATTCGAAGTGATCTGCAGCGGGAATTGAAAAACAAGTATAGGTAGAATTCAGGATGATCAAATCAGTTGAATTTGCGTACCGACTCACACATGAGGTTTACACAGGATAAAAAGATATTGGGTCGAAATTGTGGTTCACCATCCATGAATTCTCTTAGTTTTCCAGATAACTGCCAAGATTTAAAAAAAAAATTGTTCAGAAGTCCTTGCAAAAGATTGTATCTATGACATCACTGAAGAGAGACAGTTATTGGTGTATTCTTCTCCTGGAGGACGGCGAATTGTAAAGGTCTCTGAAGAGACATCTATATATACGCGAGGAATAACATAACGACGGTGAAGTACTAGATAAAAGGAACACGATCAATGGCCTAACTGTTTTATTCTCGAACATCCAACATTTGCGTGATTGCATATTATTCTGATTGTCTGTCGTTTTGATCGCACGAAGGGGAATCCCTCTATCACATCCGTGAATAGGGAGAGAAGGTAGGTATCGGAGTTATCTTTGAGCTTTTTCAGCTTTTGGAGGTTGAAAGTATTTTTCGATTTCTTGGAGAGCATGCAAGGACATCCCTATAATGTTCGTGGAACATCGTGCATATTTCAAGGTTAACGACGAAAGGATGTGCTGGATGGAATTATAGCAGAGATTTCTGAGGAACAATTCCCGTGGAAGTATCTGAAAAAAAATTAAAGGTCGCCGACTTTCCTATGGTATTCTAATGGGGTCAATGAGTTAGTGGGTGTGGCAGACGAATGGCTCTTCTCTGGATGGAATCTGAAAACATCAGCTTATATGTTTGTATCTCGGTTTGTATGCTGAACCCCCAATACATGAGCACAGTATTCTGAAACTGGCCGTATCTGTGCTTTATAGATCATGTAAAGTAGTTTCTCGTACGAAACTAGAATCCGAGTTTTTGTGAATCAGCTTTTGCGATGGATCCCCATGAGAAAGTATTGCTTATCGTAATACCGAGCATAGATTCAGTGGTCTTAGTAGGAATGGCTTCACTAGATAAAATATAGACTCGAGTTTTGTTAGCGTTGAATTCAACTAGGTTATTGATTCCTCAGGCTGTGATTTCCGCAGGATTTTCATTGACAGCGTTGGCCTGCCTTGGTCGTAGGTTCTTAGTGTCCTAGAAAAAAATCTAGAAGAGACAATGTTGGTGCCAGAATTGATGCTTCTGGAACGCCGCAATTGATGACAATGGTATCAGATGATTTCACCACCACATGGAGCGATCTGCCTGAAAGAAAATCCGATAAAAGATTGCACAGCTGAGGTGGTGAGCAATATGATGGTAGTTTGTGGAGCAGTCCTCGGTGTCAAACGCTGTCGAACGGTTTCGATATATCCAACGCCACAGCTAGAGATTCCCCCTGTGTTTCTACCCAAGCTTGCTATATATGGGTAAATCTCCAGTTGATCTTTGAGGGCGAAAGCCATATTGTCTATCATTATTGATTCCTGAGCATTCCAAATATTTGATGAGCTCAATGTTGATGGCTTTCTCCATCACATTGGAGATTAATAACAGGGCAATTGGCCTATAGTTGTTCGGCAGGCTTTCGTTTTCTTTATTGGGGACTGGTTGGACTCTAGCTATTTTCAACCAAGATGGAAAAATGTCCGACTTGTGAATAGCTTGCAGAGAGCCGGTGACAATTCTGGTGCACACTTCTTAAGAATTATGGGTAAGAAACATTCCTTATATAGAGGATTCCAGAGTATTGCCGTTTAATGGACATATCCCAAGGTTGGAGACAATTACAATAAACTTATACATTTCATCCAACCGTAACTCCATCGAACTACACTAGACAATTGCCCAATGTGACGTCCATTCGAACACTATCATATCTTATGTGTGAGAATCATCAGGAAGCCCTTGTCCCCTGTATTGTTACGCCAATGGAAACAGCTGATCGCCCACGAAAACTTGATTCCTAAACAATCCACATCGAGACTGCGCGAGTTGCACTACAGTTCATGCGTTTTACGAACTCTCAATTCATAACCGTGTATTCCGCAATAATTTTCGACCTCTCAGGAGCTTTGGTGATTTCAAAAGGACAATAAATGATCTTCAAATCTTGTGACTGATCTTCTCCTGCCAGACTGCTACCGAAGATAACTGACGAAACTATTCAGATGGTTCCTTTGTTAGACTGTTAGACAGGTAAAGTGACTTTCGGATAATCCCGGCTGTTATCGGTTTGTTATGTAAACAGTGAAGTGGCATGCAGTGTGTGCTTATATTACATTATCGATTGACACAGAATATTCAACAATTGGAACGATAACGAGTTTTATCACCAACTTCCACGATAAATGTTTGATTGGATGAATTATGAGGAAACTTATCAATCAGGAAAATATGGTCCACACGTTGGGCGCCAGAAATACAGTGCGAAACATCCGACCCACTTGAAAATATCGTGAAATATCTTCAATCCACATTTCATTATTTCAAAGTTTATAGGTCAACCATCAATCAAGTACCTACTCACTGAGGAGAGTTGAGTTGATAGATTAATGTCATTATTCATTAGAAAGTGTTTTTTTGACTGGGCATCATGGATTATTGTAAAAAAGGCCTTATTCTCTGTTTGATATCATTGACTGAGTGCTCCAATCATATCTAGAATTCCTATTAATCAAGGATGACTGCGTGTTTTTATGGGAATGAATATATTTGATCTACGTGTAGCAAATATATAAATATTTATTTTTTATTGAAGATATAGATTCGATTAATCATTTTCATTCAGTTCCTGAGTGAAAGTACATATTCTGGCCACTTTTCATTGGTATCTATCATAATTTGTTCGGAATATTATATTGCTATTAATTCCGAATACAAAGTGACAATCTGGTCTACAATTTTTAATGGAAACAGGCACCATTTTCTTCAAGATATTCATCAGAATATCTCTGGAATGCTCAACAAGAATCAATTTCAAGTCGATCTCAACAAAGTAGTTGAAAATATATAGAAGGCAAGCAAAGACGAAAGAACCTAAATGACTTTCCATTCATTCCTCTCTTGGATGATGATGATGATGTCAAGGAATTAGTGAGTGTAGCATCATCAACCATCAGGTGAACGGCTCGTCTCTGAATGGAATCTAAGAGCATCAGCTGTGCTGTTGAGGTGTGCATATTGATGTCAAAAAGGATCCTTGTGGTACGCCTGAATTGATTGCTGTGATATCAGAGGATACTCCGTCTACCACCGCATGAAGCGATCTGCCAATACAAAAAATTATTGGTGGCAAACACGGTCGAATAATGCTTTCGATATCCATAGCTACAGCAAGTGATTCTTTATCTTTTCCTAATGAAGGGTGCCAGATATGGGTTATAAGTAGACAAGTAAATCCCCAGTTGATATCCGATGGCGAAGTCAATATTGTCTATCATTTATGATTCCTGACCTCAACAGATGTTTACTTTCGAAATAACTGATAGTTACTGGGCATTTTTTTTTCCTTTTTTTTCTTTCTTTTTCTTTGAAAATTGCTTAGACTCTAAGCTGTTCTTCAGCAGGAAGGTGAAACACTCGACTTGTACAAGATGATAACTAACTAGAAGAGAATCGGTGTTAATTCTGCTGCTCACTTTTTCTGAACAATAGGTGAAATTCTATCGAAACCGTTATAGCCTTTTATTGGTTTTAAGGCCAAGCAGGTTGCGTCTGATAGTGCATTTGAAAGATTCGAGGTAAGATTTGTAGAGAGATAATTTCAAGTATTTTCGTTTCGACAGTACTTATATCAGTATATGTGGCACTCTTCCTTAGAAATCTAAAGGATAATTTGCCTCGGAACTTGCTGGATTTTATTCCTCTCTCTCTCTCTCTTAAGCTATAATCCTTACAGTCTATTGAAGTATCCAATGGTCATTCGAAGAGAGTATCCAATGGGCAATTCATGGAAAGTTTTAATTTATAATTATGCAAAACGTCATTACCATGTGCCACACGATATTTATCACTCTTATTGTTGTGCTCACACGTGCCTATCGATTATCAAGGGTTCTCAAATGTGAGTCAATCTTTCTGTAGCTATTGGATATTCTGTACTTTAGATTTCTACGTCTTGGGAAATCAGAAATTTCAAGCATGTCCAATTTTACCATTTGGCGAAGGTCACTCAAATTCAAACATCGTATTACGATAATTCTTACTCAATCTTCTTGATCGTATTCTCTGTATCAATAAATCCTCAGATTGAATTATTATCCACTACCAAATAGATATAGACACCAAATTCGTACACCTACATTTTTCTACAACTTTTGATTCTCTTTCTATTTTTATCACGTTTTCGAATTCCTTTTTATGCAATATTGCAAGAGATTCAAATTATTGAATTTTACCACAAATGATCGGCTGTTCAATTCGCATGAATGCTTTTTCGAAAATGAATTTGTTTCTTCGACTTGAACAATTGGAGCCATGGGAGGCAGGACTTCTTTTCAACAAGATCAATAATCCAAAATTATCGAAATATATTGAGTAGGTAGGTGTAGGTACTGTAATGAAAGTCAAAGCCACCTAGATCGAATTATGATAACCAGATGAAATATAAACTTCAGGAGTTTCAACCGAAAATGAAGCTACTGTAGGTATGTGAATTCACCTGCTTAATTTGAAGAGTTAAAGTCTTCATCTTCAAAGCCTAAAAAGTAAAAGGTGTGACACGGTTCTGTTGGCCACTTTGTATGGATTTTCTTCAGGTCTCCCTTCATTGTTTCAGACAAGAAATGTTTCATCACAAGTTTTTGAGGGTGAGAATGAATTGAAAATAAATGGAAATATCTTCAAAATCTTGTTGATATAGGTGCAGATGGGCTTTAGAATTATTTTCTCATTTGGCAATCTCAGGTGTGATATTTTTTTATATTGATCAAATCAATAAAAAGGTAACACCTACCTCGAATTATTCCGTATATAAGTAGATTATTTTCACTGAGTTAATATCTTGATTGGTACACGATGAACTTTTTGTCTTTTGGAGCGCATCAGGAGAGATAATTAGTGAGTATGGCAGCACTAAGGCCAATGGCTCTTCTCTGTATGGAACCTAAAGCGAGACCCGAGGCGAGACCTAAAGGGCATCATCGTTATATGTTTGGGTGCTGAGCCCCATATGTGGGAACAGTATTCTAAAACAGGCCGTATCTGTGCTTTGTAGATCATTAGAAGCTGTTGAGACGTAAAGTAGCATGGAATAAAAATCCGAGTTGTCGGGAAGCAGATTTAGCGATGGATATATCTGACATGATTTTTATCGAAAGTTTCTTTCGATTCTCAACGTCAAAGAATTATTACCAATATCAAACTTTATGGACTGTAACTTATTGTTTGTCTATTTATCTAAGCTCTGATCTAAATCCACATGTGGGTCAGTCAGCCACTGATATCTATTTCGAGCGGAAACTGAAGGACACGAAATTTAGAACAAATGCACCGCTGGAAATTTAAACTCTATACTTACATCATTTGAAATTCAGGTCTAGTTCAAATCCCTATTACTGTTCATAAAAATGGAATGTCCGGTTTCAATTCTGAATTCGCTTCATGTTTGATATATCAATGATTCCTAATGATATGGCATAAATATTTCACACCAGAGTAATAGGTAATAGTTGGATATCAATATTAGGATTTTAGATCGCTATTGAGACTCGAATGGACACGATAGGGATAGGGAAACAATAAAACTATTTAATCCTGAAAAATGTTCTTACAAATTGTTGGATCCACGTTGACTTATGACTAGCCTCATCATTGCCCAGTGGAAAGGTCAAAGTAATAAGTAATCAACATCGAGAATTATTCACATTTTTCAGTGGTTCACGGTTTCCATTGAGTCTATATTGGCTAATTATTGTTATTCAACCAATTCGTTTGAACAGGGACAGGAACAGATGTAGTACCTACAATAATCGAGTTCGTAATTCGGTTTTATAGAAACGTGTTTCCAAAACACCATGAATAATGTATTGTGACTTTTGTTATCTCTTGGAGTTCACGAGAGGAAATTCCTATAATGTTCTAAGAACATCCAGGGATGATAGGGAGAGGAGGTATAGGTGTTAGCATTATTTTTGAACTTTTAGAGGTTATAAGTTCTTGGGGATATTTCCAATGGCAAAGCCGTTCTATAGATGAACGAGTTTTGGTAAAGAGCGAGGTGAAGAGTTTTTCGAAAGGCGCCGACTTATCTACGGTGTTCTAATGGAGTCGAAGAATTAGTGAGTGTGGCATCATCCACCAGGCGGATGGCTCTTCTCGGGATATACTATAAGAGCCGAGCTAAGAGCATATCAGCGTATGTTTGGGTGCTGAACTCCATATGTGAGAAGAAAATTCTAAAACGGGCCGTAGATAATGAAGAAGCTGAAGCTGTTGAGGTGTAAAACGTTCTCCGCCCGGAATATAAATCCGAGTTTTTGTGAAACAACTTTCGCGATCGATCGGACAGGATTTTTCTATAAAAGAGTATTGCTAATGGAAATACCGAGCATCGATATAGTGGTCTTGGTGGGGATGGTGGTACCAGACATGGTTATATCAGGCATATTGAGTTCCACCTTCCTAGAGAAAACACACTCTTGAGTTTTGGTGGCGTTGAATTCAACTAGGTTGTTAATACCCCAGCCTGTAATTTCAGCAAGATCGGCATTGACAGCCTTCGTCGTGAGTTCTTAGTTTTCTGCGGAGAAATCGGAATTTTAGAATTGAACGAAGTATGGAGAGTTCTATCGTTTGCAAAGCTGTGGATAGGGCAAGTAGTTGCACCCAACAGATCATTGATATGAAGTAGGAACAATGTTTGTGACAAAATTGGTTCTTGTAGAACGTCGAAATCGATGTTCGTCCACCAGTACATGCCTGCCATAGCTGAGGAGGCATGCCGTATGATGGTAGTTTGTGGATGAGTCCTTGGTGCCAAACACAGTCGAATGCCTTCGATATATCCAACGCCACAGCTAGAGATTCCCCATGTTTTTTTGAAGATGTTCGCCATATATGGGTGACGTATAGGTGAGTAAATATCTCTGGCCAGCTTAGCCTCGTGGTTAAAGCGTCAATGTTCTATCCACGTTGAATTGCCGGTAGGTGGGTTCGATTCCCACCACGACCGCAGAAACTTTTCTGATGGCCTAAGA